TGTGGGGGGGTCTGTGTCTCTCTCAGTGCCCTCCCAGTGTGTGCCCACCACCTGCTTGATCCCCTCCATGTTTAGCTTCCTGACCATCCTTCCTGCCTCCCACATGGGCATCCCTGCGAGGAGGGACCTGCCCTGCCCCCAGGCAGCTCCTGTGGGAGTCCTGGAGGGAGGTGGGGAGAGCTCAGCTTCCTTTTGGGAACCCAGCTCTGGAACGAGCAAGGGGCTGCACAGGGGTGTGTGTGCAGAGCCAGTGTCGTGGAATCATGGAATATTTGGCTTGGAAAGGACCTTTAAAGGTCCCCTCGTCCAAGCCCTGCCATGAGCAGAGCTGTGCACAGGAGAAGGAGCTCCCTGGTTTGGGGGGCTGAGCTGGGTGCTCCCTGTTTGGGGGGAATCCCACTGGCAGCACAGGGCTTTCCACCAACCTCCCTGGGAAGCCCTGGGAAGGCACCCAGCCCTGAGGCAGGGGAGGTGCTGCACCCCTGGGCACACAAGCTCCCAGGGCCATCGGGTGCTCGGGGTGAGTGTCACACTGGTGTCTGCCCAGGTGGCTGCCAGCAGCCCAAACATCCAGGTTGGTTGGTGAGAGCAGAGGAAGAGGCAGCAAGGGAGACCAGGAGCTCTCCAGGGAAGGGGGCAGGGTGTTAGGAAGTCCTGGGTTCCTATTTGCCCCAGCCTCTTGGGTCCCAGAGTGTCGTGGGAGCCCCGAGCATGGTCATTGCACAGAAACCCACTGCATCCTGGGCAGGGGCACTGGCAGGAAGGTCCCAGCCCACCACAGCAGGGCTGGTGCTGGGGGGAAGTGCTCTGACTCAGCTTGTCGTGGCCTCTGGGCCCACAGGGACCCTCCCAGCCAGGTGAACATCCTCTTTTCCCTTCCTGGGAAGTCCCAGGCCTGATGTGGGCCCCGTAACATAGATTTACATGTGTCCTCTGCTCCTGGGGGCTCCTGCAGTCCCTGGCCTGGAGGGCCTTGGCTGCTGCCTCCAAAGGTCTCCAAACAGCCCCTGCCCATGGGGACATTGTTGTCCCCACATTGCTCCCAACTTGCTCTGACAGGAGATGATCATCAAGGACTTCACCTCCAACCATGGCCAGGCTTTCATTTATTTATTTATGGGCACCAGGCACCTTGTGATGGTCCTGATACCTACCCCAGCTGCTCCCACCCCTCAGCTGTGGCACTGTCCTCGCTGTGGGAATTTTCCGTGGTGCTGGAGGGGCTCTGCAGAGCTGGGGGCAGGAGCCTGGAGCCCACAACCCTCTCTCTGTTGCCCTCAGCCTCCTCATAGTAACTGTTCTCCCTCTCCTTTTCCCCAGCTGGGAGCCCGAGGAGCCACGCTGGGAGGACCCTCTCCACAGGATGTTCTCTCCACCAAAGACCTCCCTGTGAGCGGCGATGATGACAGTCCCGGCGGGACCTCGGGAAGCACTAACATTTCAGTAGCCCTGCACCCTTGGGTGGCCGCCTTCCCCTCCTTCTCCGCCCCCCGCCCTCCCTCCGCCCCCCGGGATGGTGTATTAACCAAGAAGAGCCCTGCTTCTGTCCTCCTCGCCCACCCATTTTCGGCAGCTCTGGGATTTGTATGGCAGCAGCGTAACCGTGGAGAGGCCGGGGTATCACAAACTTATGGATTTTGATAAGAGAGGAGGGAAAGGGGAGCTGGAGGAAGGTAAAAGGATGTCCAAGACAGGTGGAGGAAGGAGCGGTCATGGAGGCCGGGGCACTGGAACCAACTCGGGGGTGCTGATGGTGGGCCCCAACTTCCGCGTCGGCAAGAAGATCGGATGCGGCAACTTCGGGGAGCTCCGTCTAGGTGAGAAGGGCTGTCTTTGTCCTCGCTGTGTCCGCCTGTGCTGGCATTGCCCTGGCACCCAGCTCCTGGGCTGGCGGTGGGAGGAGCTGGCACAGGCCCTGGCACAGGCCCTGGGGTGCTGTGGGCTGAGGCGCTGCCCGGGGCAGGCGGCCCGTGCTCCTGCAGAGGTTCCTCCTTCACGCTGTGCCTGATCTCCCAGGCCCAGCCCAGCCCAAAGCACTGACCACAGAGGTGCTCCCCGTCTCCTCCCTGTGCCTGTGGCCCTCTGGGTTTGTCAGGGAGAGTATAATGGTTCAACCCTGGCTGTGGGAAGTGGTGGTGGCCCACACAGGTCTGGGTGTCCCCCCAAATCCAGGAGCACTCCGCGAGGAATGTTTCGGGGAATACCACTGTGTGCTCACCAAATCTCACCCTGCTTGTGCCCAGGGTGGTGCCCTCCCACTGTGCCCAGGAGAGGGGATGTGGGGGTCTGAGGGTGTTCACTGTGCTGGGACAAACCTTGGGGAGGAGGGTCAGTGTTTTATCCTGGGTGAATTCTCCAGTTGTTGCAACTGGGTGGGAGACTCTCCTAAAACTCTACGCAGGGCAGAGGAAGGGAGGAATGAAACCCAAGCACCTTCTGTGGTCATTTCCATTTTGAACCAAGTTTATCAGGAAACTCCTCAAGCAAACACCAGCTCGGAGGGTGGGGAGGTTGCTCCTCTCCCACGACTGGGAATGTCCCAGGAGGCTTTCAGTGAGCTGTTAACCCTTCACTTGGCATCAGGCAGCTGGGAGAGGCCTGGCAGTACCAGGCACCACTGCTCAACACAGCCTGGGTGTCTCCAGGAATGCACACTGGATGTGTGGATGGAGTCCCTGCCAGCCAGAGCCTTGTCCTTGGCTGTGAGTGCTTTGGGAAGGGGCTTGTGCCCTGGGAAGAGGGAAGAGGGCCAGTCCCTGGGAGCCTGTGACAGCCACAGGCCTTGTTGCTCCGTGGTAGTTTAAGCAGGGCCTTGCTAAGCCGAGCTCTGAGCTAAACCTGCCCTGCCTGTGCTCCCCAGGCGGGCTCTGGGCATGCAGGAGCAGCCCTGGCTGGGCTGGGGCGAGTCCCCCCCTCGCTGTGCTGCCCAGGGGGAGTTCATGGCAGCTCTCCCCAGTGTGACAGACTGGATGGTGCCAGGCTGACCCGTCCTGTCCCCGAACTTCCCGATGGGATCACCCGTAATTGCAGAGCTGGGGAAAATGCCCTCTTTAAAATCCAGCCAGGCAGTTCCATGTTCCACACAACAGCATCTGTCTCTCCTGGTGTTGTGAGGAGCTCTGAGCCTTCCTCCAGACCTCATGGAAGGCTTGTGGAAGGAGAAGTGTTTGGGAATTTCGCTGCTCCTTTCAGTTCCTGGGTGGGTCTGGACACTCCACTGCTGGTGCCTCCCTGCATGGCTGGTAGGGGGGGGATCAAGGGCTCTGAGCCCTGCAGGGTCTGCTTGTGTCCTTCCACCTCCTTTTCCCTGCTTGCCTGTGAGCATCTCACAGTGGATGTGTGGATCTGAGCTCTCTTCCAGGATCCTGCTCTGGGCAGGAGTCTGGAGCTGTGGCTGTTGCTTTGTGACCCCCACCTTGGCCTCCCCCATTTTCACTGGGAGGACACGAGTCCCACAGGGATCTGAGGGATGTCTGTGGAACTGGCAGTTGTGCTGCTCTGAGCAGAGCCACTGCAGGGCCCTGGGAGCAGTTGGGCTGGGCTTGCTCCTGGCTGGAGGGACGAGCAGGGAGCTCTTCCCCCAGGCACCGCAGCGGTCGATCTCACAGCGAGGGTTTGTCCTTGCCACCAGCAAGAGAAGCTTCCAGTCTCTTCACGTGGTCTCCCTGCCCTGGCACACTCTGCAGGGCCTGGCCATAATGTGGTACAGCCTGAGCACAGGATCTCATCGGGGCAGGGAAAGCCACAGCTATGTGGCCTTTCTCCTAAAATCACATCTCCCTTCCGTAGGTGTGCCTCCTCCTGCAGCAGGGCTCAGGAATGCTCCCAGGGCTTCACAGGGAGTAGGGATTCCTCCAGCTGCAGATGAATGGTGAGGGACCAGAGGGATCCTGCTGTGAAGTGGTGGCATGAGCAGGGATGCTGTTGCTGGGCACTCAGTTCTCCCCTGGGAATGGAGGATTCGCTCCTCAGGGCAGGCTGGGTGTAGGGGCCAAACTGTAGCTCAGTGTTGAAAAGGTCCCAGATCTTCTCTGGACTTTTTCCTTCCTTACCAAAAGCCAGGAGATCTTGCAAAAACATGCATGGAGGTGACTGCTGCAGCTCCCAGCAGTGGGGGTGGAGGAAGGGGATGTTGTCTTCCTAAAACAAGGTACCACTTTGCCCAATTTCACCACCACCCTGAGAGGCACGTGGTGATCTGTCCTTATGGTGCCTCAGCTCAGCTGCCCAGTCGAGTCAGGTGTCCTCCCAGGCACAGAGGTGTCCAAAATCAAAAGTGATTTGTTTAAAGATTAAATATTAAAAAAAAAAAAAAGTGGCATAAGGCATTTGTGGGGAGCCAGAAGGGGAATGACGTGTGCGGGAGTTGTGGCTGCCAGGGCTGTGCTGTGGATCCTGCCTCTCCACGTTCCTGCTGGCCTTGGCAGCCTGGGCAAGGCACAGACGTGGTGCCAGTCCCTGTCCCAGTGCAGCAGCACTGCTGGCCAGTTCCTCACTGGAGCAGCACGACTGGAGAGCTGGGCTGGGGGCTGCAGTGGGGGGGCTGCCCCAGCCCTCTGGGACAGGGGGACAGGTTTAGGTCGTGCAGCTGCTGGGTCCTGTTCCCTGCTGATGTCCTTGTGCTTCACCCCGAGCTGCTGTGGTCCCTGTCAGCCTCCAGCTGTGATCCAGTGCCAGCCCAGCTCCTCCTGGGCCTTTCCAATCCCATCCCTGGGCAGTGCCCACCACCTGCAGCCCCCTGAGCTCCCCTGTGCCCACAACCAGCCCACCCCTGTGCTGGGGTGCTGCCCTCTGAAACACAGGGCAGCAGGAAGCTGGTGACAGCAGGGCGACAGGAGCGTGGCTGGTGGCTTGTGTGCCCTGGCACTGGGTCCTGCAGCCCTCGGGCCCTGCCAGCTCCTGTGCCCAGGCCAGGCACGTGCTGCTCCCAGCCAGGGTTTGTTGGAGCAGCTGCTCAGGGGGGCTTTGGGCTGGGCTGGGGTAAGGGGAGAGGAGGAAAACTCAGGCATTAACCAGGAAGGTCAAAAATGAGCCCAGAGCACTTGGGTGCTGTGCAGGCCCCTTCCCTGAGCTCTGCCTGCTGCTGAGCTGGCTCAGAGCTGTCGTTAGTCCTGCTGTTAGTCCTGCCTGGGCTGGGCAGGGGGCTCCCTGCTGACCCCCTCCTGAGCCTGGCCCAAGGCCAGTGCCCTGGCCAGGCTGTGCCATGGAGCTGCCCCGGGGCAGCCTCAGCCCAGAGTGGGGTGCAGGGAGGGATGGGGACCTGGCAGCAGCTGCTACTTCTGTTCTTACTGCAGTAAACTCCTGCAAATGTGCTTTTTGCAGGTTTTCTGGTCCCACCCCTCTCCCCCAGCCCACTGCTCGCATTTCTACTGGCAGCTTGGAACCACAGCAGCTGTTTTCCTTTGAAGTTAAAGGCTGGAAATTTATTTATTTTTTAAAGTAAACCCAGGATTTTGGAGGAAAGAACACGGGGGGTGGGTCTGTGTGTGGTGTGTGAGCCAGGGGCAGGTCACTGCTGAAGGGTCTGGGGACATTCCCAGCTCTCCTGAGCTCTGGCTCTCAGGCCTGTCCTGCAACATCCCCAGCTACTCATGGGGGCCACAAAAGGTACCTTCAAAAAACATGACTGGGTCAGTGCCCTGCCCGTGACACCCTGCTGTCCTGGGCCCTGCAGAGCCCTCCCTCCAGACTCCCTCCAAGGGCTCAGCCTCCCAGAGCCACGGGCCCAGCACACACTGGGGGTGGGTCACGGGTGTCTTTGGAGGGGGCTCAGGCACTCCCTGCCTGCTGCTCCTGCCTCCCTTGCCGGGGGCTCACTCTTGGGTTTCCTCCTGGTCGTTCAGAGCCTCCTCTAGAGGAAGGTCAAGCTCTGAAATAGGTCTGGGTTTATTTCTGATGGTGTTAAACCCCTGGTGCTCCGAGGAGCTGTCACTGCTCGGCCTGAGGCAGCTCTGGCAGTGCCTTATCCAGTGCTCCTCTTGCACATCCCCTGGCACTGGGGAAGCCAAATTCCTGTCCCAGTGCCCAGCTGTGCCCAGCACAGCTCTGTGCTGCTGCTGCTGCTGCTGCAGGGCCGTGGCACGAAGGGTCCCAGCAAGGGCACTGTGGTGACACGATGGAGGGGCAGTGCCAGGCAGAGCACTCACTGCTGCTCACTGTTCCCCTTGTGACAGGAAGGACATGGAAGTGCTGGAGCGTGTCCAGGGAAGGGAACGGAGCTGGGGAAGGGGCTGGAGCAGCAGGAGCAGCTGAGGGAGCTGGGGGGGCTCAGCCTGGAGAAAAGGAGGCTCAGGGGGGACCTTCTGGCTCTGCAACCCCCTGACAGGGAGCTGGGGGGGTGTCGGGCTCTGCTGCCAGGGAACAAGGGACAGGATGAGAGAGAATGGCCTCAAGCTGTGCCAGGGGAGGTTTAGGTTGGAGATTAGGGAATATTTCTTCTCTGGAAGGGTTGTGAGATGTTGGAACAGACTGCCCAGGGCAGTGGTGGAGTCACCATCCCTGGAATTGTTCAGAAAGCGTGGATGTGGCACTTGAGGACACAGGTTAGTGGTGAACGTGATGACCTTAGAGGGCTTTTCCCTTCCTGATGATTCCACGATTCCATGACTCCAGGCTGCCTGGATGGGGCCTGGCTGGGAGCAGTGCAGAGCTCAGCTCCTGCTGGGGCTGCCCTGATGTACAGGAGCAGGTGCTGGAGCCCAGTGCTGCCAAATCCCTTCGGAGGGGACAGCAAAGCCACCTCTGGTGTTGAAGCACAGCACAGGCCCTGGCCGGGCTCCGCTGGCTTCGGCTCCGCTCTGCTCCTCACGCCGTGTCCTGCAGCTGCTGGCAGCTGGATTCGGAGGCACCTCCAGCCCTGAGCAGGGCAAAGGCCTCTGCAGCGCAAATATTTGCTTTCTGCCGCCCATCTCGACACTTTTCTCTTCTGTTTCCTTTCAGAAGCACCTTTTGTGCTGTCAGTCCTGCAGCTCTGCCTGACTGAGGCCTCCCGGGTGCTCCCGAGGGTTCCACGTTTTGGGTGTTAAAGTGACCCCGTTGTGAGCACTGGGCAGTGTGGGGGCTGCCTCAGGAGCTGGAGTGGGGAATTCCCTGGTGTGGAAGGACCCTGCATTCCTGCCTCCTTGCTCTCTTGCTTTTTCTTTCCTGGTTTTATAATTCTTACGACAGGCTGGTTGTGCTCTCTGTGCCTTCCTTTAGCTGGGGAAGGGGGAGCAGAGGGGGTGGTTTGACAGTCTGTGCTCCCCAGTTTGTCCATCAGCTGTGTCCAGGCCTCCTGAGCATTACAGGAAGGGATGAACCAGGGGGGTATCAGATGATTTGGGCTCAGTTTTGGGGCTGGGAGAATACTGCCAGCTCCCAGAGCAGTTTTGTGGGTGGCTGTCTGTGCCAGTGAGCCACGGAGGAGGGGACAGTGTGGTGGGGACAGGACAGATGACACCTGACAGGGACAGGGTGGCCTCTCCCATCCCAGCCCTGCTGGGGATGGTCCTGCCTCCATCCCTTCTCCCACCCTGCTGTGCTGAGCTCTTTTGCAGGTATCCTGACATTTTTTTCCCCTCCTTAATTTTTCCCCCTTCAGACCCAGCCTTCCCTCAGGGAAAATCCAGCTGTGAGTTTTCTGGTTGCACGTTCTGCCCTGAAGGCAGCAGTCATTCTGTTGGACTGCAGGGCCCTGTGGGCTCTCTGGAGCCATTCACAGGCCTGGGAGGTGTCCTACCTCCTCCCCAGGAAATGCCAGTCCATGATGGGCCAAACCCCCTGGATCTGACACAGGCTGTGCCCGCCAGATGTTCCTCCCTCCCGAATCACCCACTCCCTCACTGCTCTGAAGGGATTTGGTTTATGCAGAGGCAGGAGACAAAGTGGCTTGGCAGAGGTCCCCTGGGATGGGAGAGGGTCAGGGAGGCAGCAGGACTGAGCCCCTCCTCGGCTGCAGAGCCCATCCCTGGGAGGAGCCACTCCATTAATATCTCCCATTCATCCCTCTTCCCGTAATCCTGCCGCCGACTCTGGCGCTCAGCAGCTGGCTCTGATGTCACCCGGCGAGGATTTATTGCTGCTTCAGGTGGAGAGCAGCAGTCAGAGCAGATGAAATCTTATGCCAGGAGGAGCTTGTTCCCTAAGCAAATTGCTTGGAGAAAATCCGAGGAGACAGATGCAGCTCCATCAGATAGCAGGGATCGCGTGTCTGCTGGCTCCGAAGGGAACCTGCTGCCGTTAACTCCCACCTCCCCGGGAGGAAACACTCCTGCAAACCTCTCATCTTTGCCTTTTTGGGCCTGGGCAGAGGTTGTACTGACACTGCCCAGGTGTGACTCTTTCTCAGGCACCCCTGGAGGATGTGCAGGCACTGTGAGCTCAACCTTCCTGAGGTTACGGGTGTGAAAAGGTGCAGGGTGGAGCTCTCCAAGGGGTCACATGCAGGGTGCTGCCCCTTCAGCTCCCCTGGGCACTCAGAGCCAGGATCCTGACCCTCCTTGCAGCTCCTCCTGCAGTCTGGGTCACACCATGGATCTGCTGCTGCTTCCCCTGCACCCTCAGGCAGGTGGGAACATCCCCAGGGATGAGGTTGATCCACACACGTGTGTGCACACACACACATGCACACACGTGTGTGCCATCCCCAGGAGCGACTCCAGCCCTGGGGAGGAGATTTCCAGCTGCCTGCAGTGCCCTCAGACCACTGCCAGGTGCTCCTGGGGGTCCTTCCTCCTGGCCACCCACAGCCCAGTGTCCCCTGGCTCTGGCCACCCCTCCTGGAGCCCCTCTCCATGAGGGGAGAAGCACCAAGTCCCAGCCTTGCTCCTGCCTTGCCCAGTCACATCCCTGCAGGCCCGGACTGGGATGCTGCCCCCTCCCAGCATCCTTGGCTCTGGCCCCCAGCATCCTGCCCATCCCAGAGGAATCCACATACCCCACCTGGGAGTGATAACCAGGCGTGTTGCAACTCCCCACAGTGGGTTCTGCTCCCACTCGTGCCTCAAGGGCCTGTGCAGGTGTTGTGGGAGCTGCTGAACCTGTTCAGGATGTTTTTGAGCCCGTGATCCCTCAGGGGCTGTGGTGGGGGTGGTGCAGGGACTGCTTTCCATTGCCTTCTCCTGTGTCTCCCTGCAGGAAAGAACCTCTACACCAACGAATACGTAGCGATCAAATTGGTGAGTGGCTGTCGAGGGGGGTGTTCGGGCCATGGGGAAGGAGGTTGCTGCCCCTCCCCAGGAGTTGGGGAGGGTGGAGAGAGGGGGTTGGGGTGTGGTGGATGGGAGCAGGAGCGGGTTGGGATGTGGTGGATGGGAGGCTGCGGGGGAGCTCCGCTCACCACTCGGAATCCAGGGCAGGCTGGGAACACACGTCATTGCAGGTGGGGTGATCTGGGGCTGGGGAGGGAGGAGCTGAGGCTTCTCCTCTCCCAGCCCTGCCCATGGCCTGTGCTGTGCTCAGCCAGTGGCAGCAGCAGAGGGACCTCAGGGAGGAGTGGTCCCACTGGTACCTGCTCCCATTCATGGCTACCCCAGCATCCAGATCTCTCTGTCCCGGGTGGATCTGGCTCCCATATGGGCTGATTTTCTCTCATTATCCCCTGTGGCTTCATCTCTGTTTTGTACTGGTTGTTCTCAACCCCAAATGCTCAGTCCAGCTGCTGCCCGCATGTGCAGGAGGTGTCTGACAGCCAGGCCCCCTAAACACCCTGCCCCCTAATTGACTGTTCTCCTTCTCTCCTCCAAGGAACCCATAAAGTCCCGGGCCCCCCAGCTGCACCTGGAGTATCGGTTCTACAAACAGCTTGGCAATGCAGGTATGGGGCTGGGCTGTGGGGTCCTGCCTGCCAGGACCCTGCTGGGAGAGGGGCTTCCCCTAAATGTGACTCTGCAACTTTGCTCCCGGCCTGAGCAGCTCCTGCCCATCTGCTCGGCGGGGAGGGGCTGGTTTTACACAGAGTCTAATCTTTGATCTCTTTTGATTTAGTTCTCCCCCCCACCCCCGCAGCAGAGTCAGGGATGCAGATGGAGCTGCCTCCAGGGGCAGAGCCAGGCTGTCTGCAGCAGGAGGGAGGGCAGTGTGGGGCCGTCCCCCCTCTGCAGCCCCCGTCCCTGCCCGGCACAGCAGGGCCCTGTTGCAGCCCCACACAGCCCCTGCTCCATGTCTTGCAGAAGGAATTCCTCAGGTTTACTACTTTGGCCCCTGTGGGAAGTACAACGCCATGGTGTTGGAGCTGCTGGGCCCCAGCCTGGAAGACCTCTTTGATCTGTGTGATCGAACCTTCACGCTCAAGACTGTCCTGATGATCGCCATCCAGCTGGTGAGCAGCTCCTCCTGCTCCTCCCTGGGGTGCTCCTGGCTGCCTGGGGGGACCAGGTGGTGGGGGTGGGCACGGGGGACACCCCATGGGGAGCTGGAGGGAGGAGGGGTGAGCCAGTGCCAGGCAGGTCACAGGAGGCGCATCCCAGACCACTCCTCCCATTCCTCACCCCTCCCTGGCGAAGGAGGGCTCTCCTCAGCCCAGCACAGCCCCCTCTGAGCATCTCCCTGTGTGTCCAAGGTGCAGCTGGGCTGGGGTTGTCTCCCAGGGTGGGAGGACCCGATGTTCCCCTGCTTGCATCCTATGGGGACGGTCAAGCCGGGGGGAGCAGGGCAGCTGGCTGGGGCAAGGTGACCAGAGCAGGTGCAGGGGTGTGTGCAGGACACAGGGGGTGTCTGTGCCCTGGCACTGACACCTCCCTGTGCCCCAGATCACACGGATGGAGTATGTCCACACCAAAAGCCTGATCTACAGAGACGTGAAGCCGGAGAACTTCCTGGTGGGGCGGCCGGGCAGCAAGCGGCAGCACACCATCCACATCATCGATTTTGGCCTGGCCAAAGAGTACATTGACCCCGAGACCAAAAAACACATCCCCTACCGAGAGCACAAGAGCCTGACAGGGACAGCACGTTACATGAGCATCAACACCCACCTCGGGAAAGGTGTGTTGGGCTCCGGGCAGCCTTTCCTCTGGCAGAGGGGGAGGGACTGCAAGGAATGAGATCTGCCCTGTCAGAGGTGGGGCTGGGCACAAACTGCCTCTCTGGCTCTTCAGGGTGTTGGCAGGACCTTTGGGGTACTGCAGGGTCTGGGAGGGACAGGGACAGTGTGTGTAGTGGGAACATGCCCGTGTCTCTCTTTCTCTGTGCAGAACAAAGCCGCAGGGACGACCTGGAAGCATTAGGGCACATGTTTATGTACTTCCTCCGCGGGAGCCTTCCTTGGCAAGGCCTCAAGGTAACTGCCAGCTCCTGATGCCCGTGGGTCTGGCCCTGTGCTGGCATGGGGGGAAAAGCTTTGGCCCTCAGGGTGTTGGAGGGTTGGCACTTCACTGGATCTGAGCTCCGTGCCAGGCCCTTGCTGTGCTGAGCAGCTGTAGGGTCCGTGTGTCCCCCCACTTTGGGGGGGTCCCAGCTGCTCTCACAGTGGCTCTTCTGGAACTGCACTCCCTGGTGGTTGTCCCCCAGACCTGCCCTGGTGAGGGAATACCCTGGGAATGAGCTCCTCCTGTTACCTGGGAAAGGGTGACCCAGAAACCATCTGTGGTCTGGTTGCCCCCAGTGCCTCCCCTCCCTGACAGACCCTCCCTGTCCCTCCAGGCCGACACGCTGAAGGAGAGGTACCAGAAGATCGGCGACACCAAACGAGCCACCCCGGTGGAGGTGCTCTGTGAGAACTTCCCAGGTGAGAGCCCTGCCCTGCCTGGCCCTGTCCCCAGCCCTGTGCCCAGCCCCTGACCCCCTGTCCCCGCAGAGGAGATGGCCACGTACCTGCGCTACGTGCGGCGGCTGGATTTCTTTGAGAAGCCCGACTACGACTACCTGAGGAAGCTCTTCACGGACCTGTTCGAGAGGAACGGTTACGTGTTCGACTACGAATACGACTGGGCAGGGAAGCCTCTGGTGAGTGGGGAGGGGCTGGGCAGGACAGAGGGCACCCCAGGGGCAGCGGGGTCGGATGAGCAGCCAGGGAGGATGCAGGTCCCGGCCCTGTGCCCGAGGGATCGGCTCTGTCCATCCTCACCACTCACCAGCTCCAGGCTGGGGCTGTTGTGCCAGCGGGTCAGAACTGTGGGATGGGAGGCTCCTGGAGCCAAAGGGACCCCAGCAGCCAGGCTGGCACCTCACTTTCTGCCATGGGCCCCCTCCGTGGGCTCACTGCAGCCAGATAGCACACGAGGAGCCCATTGGGGCCAGGTGGTGGGGGACTGAGGTTCAGGCCCTGGTTCTGGGGGGGTTTGTGTGGGGGCAGAGGTGGGATCAGGGTGCAGGGCAGCAGGAGGGCTCTGTGCTGGCACTGACGTTGTCCCTGTGTCCCCAGCCCACACCCATTGGCACGATGCACAGCGAGGTGCAGGTGCAGCCCCCGAACAGAGACAAAGCACAGCCACACACCAAACACCAGGTGAGCTGGGGCACGGCCGGGGCACGGCGACCACGGGCTCGGGCAGCCTGGGCTGTGGCTCTGTGGGCACGGAGGAGCCCGGGCTGGAGCAGGGACTGGACATTCCTTTTCCCCCAGTGCTGTCTGTGGAGAGTTCCCCAGCACAGCGTGGGGTCTGTGGCTCGTGGGGGCCCAGGGCAGTGTCCCCCATTCCCTGGCAGAAGCAGGAGGAAGCATCGTGGGGGCTGTGGCAGGGCCAGGGGGTGCCAGGCCTGGGCATCAGCCACTGAGCTGCAGGGTCAGCCCGGGGTGATGGATGAGGGATTGGTCCAGGCTGAGGACCTGTGTCCCCAGCGCCGTGTCCCCGTGGGGTAACTCGCTGCTCTGCTTGTGGTGCCACTTCCATTGATGGGATGGTGACAGGGACGAGGGAGGGCAGGACTGCTGGGACAGCCTGGCAGCGTTTTGCCCCGTGCTGGGGCTGCCTCTGCCCAGGGCACAGGGAGCTGAGGTGGGAGCAGCCCAGGGCAGCTGTGCCAGCAGCTCCTGCCTGGGTCGCTGTGGGGAAGGGGCTGCACTGCCCAGCCCTTCTCTGGGGCCAGTGCCATGGCCTGTCCTGGTGCAGGACACACAACTCTGGGAATGCTGGCACCCAGAGCAAACCTCGTGTTTCCCAGACCCTGATCCTTTTGAACCTCCATGAGGAGCAGAGGTCCTGCAAAGGGGCTGGAGCCGGGGGTGCAGCTCCCTGTGCTCCCCACCCACACCCTGGCCCAGCAGTGCCCCTGGAGCGTCCTGGCTGCTCCCAGAGCCTGGCACAGCCCTGGCTCTCACTGGCCAGGGGCTGGGAATTGCTTCCTTAGGGAGAGGGAAACATCTTCAAATCACCTCTGGCTCATTCGTGGGAACTCGCTCCCAGTAAGGTCTGCTCTCTCCAGCACCACGTTTGGCATCCCTTCTCCGGAGCGCTGGGAAGAGCAAAGCACAGAACTCCTGGAGCATGGGAGCAGTGTCCAGCCTGGGGACACAGGGTGTCCCCACAGCCTTGGGGCCGTGCCCTGCTCACCAGGGGAGTGTTTGGCTGTGGGAACAGCCGAGCATCCCCTGCCCTGGAGGAGCAGCACCCTTTGCTCCACACCGGCCCCACCGAGCTCCGCGTCGTCCTGGGGACATGGAGAGCGGCTGTGGCACTGCCTGGGCCTGGC